AAATGCCTTAAGGGAGCTATTTAGCAGGAACCCTGCAGTGAATCCTTTGGTAAAGCAAATAATCCTTTTGTAATGGGAATAATTTCTCCCAATGTATCTAGTTTTTTAAAAAAATCCCATTTTCATATATCTGCTTTTCTTCAAAGGAGGCCATACCTATATAAATACAACTACATTTGCATATTGATTTTAACAGCAATCCTCTCAAGGGATGTTTAACCCTAAGGTCCTTGCAATGATGTTAATGCTCTGCTGTTCATATTTTTAAGAGTTATTATAGTAAACCCACAGATTTCCAAATAGGAATAAAAAAAGATCACTCCCCCTGTAGCCCTGTGTCCTGTGCCCCCATGCAAACATCCCACATCAAAGAGTCAAGCAACAGCACAGAATTCTCTGAATCCTAATGGCAATAAGCCTTGCAGTCTTTACTATTTTCTTTCCCTAAATTGCTCTCAGTCTGACAGGTTGAGGGACACAGATCTGTGGCAGCTGGGGCCAAGAGGGAAACATGGTCTCTCAGATATATTGTGACAGCCTGCAGGCAGGCAGAAGCTCAGGTTCAGTCTAACAAAATCACCTGCCAGTCCCTCTGGCCTGACACAATTGTGAATCACTGCTTCCTGGGAAGAAGCAAGCCCAGGTGCTTTTATAAATACAATCAGATTAAGGGATCAGACCAAAATGACTCTCCCCTGTCCCGGAAAATATTGTCACTGTTGCACTGAATTTCATCAAGACAAAGAGCTTCTCAATCAGTGTGAGGAAGTGGTGGGTTTTAAGCTGCTGTCAATTTAAGGGAGGAGGCATGATCCCACAGTCTCCACTTTCTTGATAGAAAACCTCAGTAGTTCTCTATGCAGAGATCAGTGCTTGGGTGGCCACATTGCCAGAGAGGACACTCCATCTACAACAGGTCAGAGGGCCAGAGGCCACTCTCCAAGCATGGTTTGAAACTTCTTTCTTTCAATTTTCCAGGTAAGAATACTACTTTCTGCCTCAAACAAGCAACTCTAGCTCATTTCACCTAATAATATCTTGAAGACAGACACATGATATGGAAAAGCACACAGCTCAGATACTTTGATCATCTCTGCCAGAAAAGCAGCTGATCCCCTGTACCTCCTTAACCCAAGAAAGTGTCCTTTTCCTGTAATCTGGCTGCTAAAGAGAAAGCTTGGAAGGAAGGCATACCCAAAGATTTTTACAGACAAATTTATCCTCATCTGCAGCCACAACACTCCCTCTGTAGCTACTGGGGTACCTTGGGCCAGAGGGCATGCTGGGTAGAGGGCAGACCTGGAAGGGCCATACAGCACTGCCTCTGCCTGGGTCAGACTGTCACTGCCAGGGTGTACTGCCCGGCTGTCTGGGAGCAAGGCCACGACCGAGATGTGTGTCTGGAGCAGACGGAAGTTGCACTAAGTGGCTTCTTGACCTGAGTACTCTTTGTATGGAGGGAGAGGGTCAGTGGGGAACTTACAATTGCTTCACACTTGGGGCTGGACAGTTCTCTGTCTGAACTGATTTGTCATTTCTCTCTGAACACAAGAGGAGGGCAAGAATCTAGGAGAGGATCTCAGGTCACAGCGCTCAAGAGGCCAGGCTAGGAAGACCACCCTGTTCCACAGCCACTCACTCCCCCTGCTCTGGCTCTGTGTGTAGGTAGAGGATTGTCAGAGAAGTGCAAAGAGGCTGTGGAGGGCTTGGCCTCCCTTTCCAGAGAAGGAATTTAATTTCCTTGTAGCAACCAGAATGGTAGGATGTTACTCTACACTGACTCTACCAAGCTGTAGTTATGGGAAATTCAGGGTCAGAACTGGCCCAGCAATGCAAGACTGTAATTTGGGTTTATATCACATTTCTTTCTGTGGTAATTCTCTTTACCTCTATCAGGAATCAATGTATGTGCTGTTTTCATACTCTGCGATAATCACAGAACTGCAAACCAGTAATTCACTACCTTCCTACCCAAACTACATAAAAGGTCATTGTTTTTAAAAGTAAAAATTCTGAAAGAGATGAAGTTAGCTGTTCAGAAATTAAACATCATGCATTACCCATAGAGAATGAACAGTAATTATGTTTTGAACACAGCCACTCAGTTGTGCACTGGTTTGTCTGAGTGACCTGACAGCATGCTCCCCAGTCCAGAGGCTGATTTGGAAAGAGATTGGGAAGATAACATCCACTTCTGTGGGCTTTCTCCTAAATCAAATTTTTTCTCAGATAACAAAAGGAAGGAATTCTTGCTTAATTTTGATCAGACTCACTATTAAGCTGAGGGAAAATCTGAGGAAATCCTGAGGAAAGTGGAACACAGGGAACCAGAATTCCATTCTGGGCTCTGATGTCCATTTGTTTTGTACTTGGATGGTTTATTTAACTCTTCATTTTGCCTTAACCTCTCAACCTTGAAAATGAGCCCATTTGCACGCACTCTGTAGAAAAGCATTTTGGCAGTCTTTAGTTCTAGGCACTGAGGAGCCAGAAGCCAACGTGGACCCAAAAGGAGCTCAGTCCACAGCTTGTACTGTTACATCCCTGCCGATCTGTAAGCCTACAAATACACCTGGGTATGCATGCCCTCCCAGAAAAACTGCAAATGCCTGAGAGACAAGACTGCTGCTCCTGGTTCATATGTCCTTTCCTATACCCCTTGCTCCAAAAGTGGACCTATGCCACAGAGAATGCTCAGTACCAAAGATGGCCCTGTGCTTCTTCTAATGCTTAAGATGGAAAGGAAATGATGCCAATCCCCACATCTGAAAAACACTTCACAGATTCAAAGCAAACGCAGAGTCATCTCATTCTCCCAGTAGCTAGGTGGGGGTATTACCCATTTCCTAGATGAAGAAACTGATGTTTGGAGAAGTTAAACAGTTTACCTGAAAGCAACATAACTAAGACTCGTACATAGTTATTTTTATTCTGGATTCACTGCTCACATTCACAGGCTGCCCTAGGCCAGAGCCTGTTTCACATTTAGCCAACTAAGGATTCTTCCTCTAGTGCCATTTTGGTCAAGGTTAAATAAATACGGTTTTCTTCAGTGCACACAGGAAATTGATAATGAGATGATTTGTAACAAATGATTAAACAGGCGTCACTTGGGAATCTCCTCCCTCTCCTCTTCCTGTGTTTCAAAAGTTAAAAAGTGCTGGGTGAGAGTGGAAGCGCGATCACTTTCCTTCAAGGGAGAGAAGCGTTAGCCCCATACCCCTCACCATCCAGTTGTTCTGCAGATGTCAGAGAGGGTCCCTTTTCTACCACCCGGTTACTCTGAAGGGATGATAACAGCCATTGGGGGGTTAAAAAGAGGCAGTGAACCCCCAGTTAATGAGTAGGAATTCAGCAGGCAGTGTAAGATAAATGGAGCGCTCTGCTTCTGCTAGAGTCAGCATGAACAGCGGCCCTGCGGCTTGTTTGTGGCAAATGGAGTGCGCGAAATATCAAAGGGCAGTGATCCAGAAGAAGACCGACTTTGACAAATTTTAAATTGGCCAGAAAGAAAACTAGCAAAAAAAGAAAAAATGAGAAAAAAAAAAGAAAATTATGCAATTCGCTGTGTCCTGCAATTGTGGCACTGCTGCCTTTCCACAGAAGTAGTGGTAAAAACAGCAGCAATGACTGCCTGATGCTGGGAGCAATTATAAGCGGTCTAAGTAAGATGCTTATCAGTGGCTGAAGCTTTTAGAGCTCTCTATGTACAGTTGTGACTAACTTGCTCTTGAGCTGCAGTTACTTTAATTAAAGTGTAAGAGGTTGATCAGAAGTAATTATCCTGTTTGGAGAAGAAAGAGAAAAAAAACACCTCAACAATTCTGGGTGGCAATAGATTTTAGAAACAACTTTGCCAATTTCTTGTTGTTTGTGTGCATTTCCCATAAAAGGATCAGACTGTGATGGGTTAGTTATTGGCGGCCGTTACCTAATGGCAAACAACGGGACACAAGCAAGGTTTATTATAACCCATGTCAATGTGTTTGGCAAGCAACCTGCTGAGGCTCCAAACGTCAGGACGTGCAGTCTCTAGAGCACATGCACTCAGAAATTTTTGTGTCTCTAGATGGTGAAGATAGATAAACACAAAAAGTACTTGATTGATTAAATTACTATCTGGAACATAAATCAGCTAGCATCTCTTTTTTTTAATGCATTCACTGAGTTTCACTAATACTTTAAAGAAAATCTCTTTGTTCCTTCAGAAAAACTAGAACAAAACAAACCAACAAACAAAAGAACCTCCAGCAATATCTTTACTAAACATAGCAAGGGGCTCAACGGGTGATCTGAGCAGGGAATCAGTGTTTTAAAAGAATCTGAAACTTGTTCAGCCTCTGGACTCAACATAAGGCTCCCACAGTTCAGCCCTATGTCCAGATCACAAGTGCCTTCCAAAAGCTCTGAGAACAAATGGGCAGCAGAGTGATGGCTGGAGGCCATGAGCAAATACTCCCAGGGCTATTGCCGTTGTAGCAGCATTGTTTGGAAACACACAGTGCACAATTTTTACTTCTATTTCTCCATCCAGCTCAGGATGGCCCCAGAAAACCACCTGGGTAAGTCTCCAGCTTTTCTATCCCATGACATTGACTCTCACGTCCCTCAGAAATGTGGCAGGTTCCTCCAAAGAGACAAGCAGAAATGGGACATTTAAGTCTAGCATATTCTCTGCCTGATTAGTCGGCCTCCAGCAGTAACTTCCAGCCAATCATTCTTTACAAGGACATCCATAAGTCTTAAAAGATGGGCTATGTGAACTCTAAGGAAATATCATAATAAAAATCTAGTGACTTTTGCTTTTTCAGAGCCCATGTTCCCTCCTATCACACACACTATTTCATTCTACCAGAGTTCTTACCATATAGAAGACAGTAAATAAAGATTATCATGAATTTGATCAAATGCTTCAGTGCTTCCTCCCCTGGTCTACGAATGCACTCATTACAAATCAGCTGAATGGCTCATTGATTTGCCAGGAGGACAAGCAGACATACCCAGTCGCTCAGCCAAGTGCATGTAAACTGGGTCCACCCGACGCATGGTTTTCACCAGATCCTTTCTGCGGAATTTGATTTCTACTGTCCCTTCTGGCTCCAGAACTGATCCCCTGGATCAGAGAGAAAGAAAACAGAACAAAACAAAATAGAATTAGAGGCCCTTTAAAGGAAGAAGACAACAGAATGAAGCCAGTTATAATTTGTGGACCAGGAAATAGCTTCATTATAGTTTTGGACCCCCATGGTTCACAGAAGTAACCCCATGGAGAGAAGTAGGCATCAGACAAGTACCTATGAGAAATATGAGAAAGGCCTGGCAAAAACCCAATTAAAATAATTTTTATTACCACACCAGTCTACTTCCATCTCAAAGGGAGAAGAATACAGATTCTACCACCCACCTGATAAAGGTAACAGGAATTACATTATTTTCCAGGAAAAAAAAAAAAGATGACATAGGCACAGTGGCAAGGGAACAGCCTCCAGCATTTAGGCTGTACAATGAAGGGTCTGTGCTGATGAGCCCCATACACAGCTGTCAGTCTGCTGGTAGGACTTAGAAATACTAGGCCAGGCCAGGCTGTAAAGAAAATGTTCTGCCTACTGCTACAGAAATTGAAAGGTCTCCTGATTACTGCTAGTGCATACTAATGATGTTCTATCATCAGGAATTTTACCCTAAATACTTCTAAAAAAATTACATTAAAAAAATATTACAGCTACTGGTTACTATGTATGTGGCACTGTTTTAAGTGCTTACATATAAATCTTCACAACGCTCCTATGCTCAGTCTACACCCTCAATGAGGTGAGGTACTATTATCCCCATTTTCAAGAAGAGGAAGTAAGGTATGGGACATTAAGAGACTTGTCCAAGTAGAACAAGCAACAGAGCTGGATTCGAAACCAGTAGTCTTGCTCCAAAGTCTGCAAAGGAATTGTTTCTGATCTGATAACAGATTAGAGGCTAGGTAAAAATTAAATAATAATACCTGAGTATAGAACTTTTTAGCCTAGTGATTAGATAAGCACCTTTGCAGTAGCCTTTGAAGTAGAAGGCTGAATTCTTGGAGAAGAGAGCAGCCTTTGAAGTAGAAGGCTGAATTCTTGGAGAAGAGAGGCAGGTACTCTAATAAAATGACTGACTATAGGAATTGGCATGGAAAATGTTGAGAAAATACAATGTGAAATTTACCTACTTTGGAAAGGGTTGAAAGCAGATTATGAAAGGCAGGTAGATTTGATCTGTTTTATGTAAGTATTTGTAGGTACCGTCTCCTAACAAAAGCATGGGACATATTCAGTTTGTTAGCTGCTGCAGACACTGTGTTCGCCAAGCCTCCTAGAATGCCAGAGTGGGACACGGGACTCTGAGGGAGAAGCTCTGGTTTGGAATCACAGAATGTGAGTGCTGTGGTGCATGCACCTCAGAGACCACCCAGCTTGCTCTACTAGCAGCCCAGAGAGTAAGGGCTGCTCCAAGTTCACCAGTTAAGACCCTAGAACTCCAGACTAACAGCTCAGTCCTTCCACTTGCTTTAGGCTCCCTTTGCCACATACCTGAAAAAGAGACAGTGAATAGGCATATCTGAACAACAAATAGGAAGAGAGAATCTCTCTGAGTTTGGGGTGCCTGGAATAGAGGACTTCATGGCAAAACAATCTGGGGTGGAGAATCACACTGAGAAAGCTTGACTCCAGCTTGGTTTCCTTTGCTTACCAGCAGACATTGTTTAGAAAGTCTATTTTTCTGACCTTGGAGCCCTCTGGAAATAGATTCCAATAAGGTTCTCTTGGTTATGTTCTCCAGGAGGAGACCAACAGCTACAGGATCCTCAGAGGCAGTGAATACATATCAGGAAGGAGTGCTACCTGCTTTCTCGGTCGGCGTACATCTCCATGTGCCGGGGGTTGATGGTGGGGTCAATCACTACCCAGGAGCCACCCCGAAGCTCGGCCTGGGGAGGAATGTAAACCATCACAGGCTGTGAGCACTCCCGTAAGCTGTCCACAATGTAGGCACCAAACTTCAACACTTGGTCGTACATATCTATAGGGAATGAGACAAATAAGAAATTATCAAATGGTGCTTCCATTGTTCATAGCGCACATATAAAATAATATTTATATGGCTCACTGTGCCTCCATGAGGAGGCTGCTCATGCCAGAGGTGACAGATCTGAAGGTTCAGCCATCCCAGGTCCTATTTAGCCACCCTAAAGACTAAAGGGATTGGTATCTCCAACTGTATAATATTCAAGACCCCAGGGGAATCTTCAAAAGCACAAGAGAAGTACACCGACTTTGACAAGATACAGTGTGCAGGGCCTATGGACTGCATATCCATTTTATATCCTCCCTGAATTTCTGTACTCAGGTTTTACCACATTAACCCACACTTGCTGTACAAATATTGAGTATTTTTCATGTCAATATGTGCTCTCTCTCACTATATCGTTTTTTTTTTGAAGGAAGGAACTATTCAAACTCTTTTCAATCCTTCTCATGACACTTGGCATATGATAGCTCTTAAAATGTGCAGCTAATGGAAATGGTCCCTTCAGAAATTTTATTGTCAGAAACTGCATCTTTCATCCTTGTAATCCCCAGTGTCCTGTCTAGTGCCTGGAACACAGGTAAGTTAAGTGTCTGCTGGATGAATGGAGGAACACATATACACTTTGGGAGGAACACAATGAGAAGAGAAAAACAAATTTATTCTTTACAGTTTTTATCAGGGTATCAATGAGAGAAAAAATTTTAAATGAGTATGTTTATTATAAATATTACACAGCCACATAAAAAGAGGAGTCAGTTCTTTATTTTGCTAAAGAGTACACTTTGTAAAATCCCCACAAGGCCTGGAGCAGCCTGGAGAAATGGGATCTCTGGTGAATAAATGAAGTGAGTCCTTGGAAAGTTAAATCAGTTATTTATTTCCCAACAATTTATGGGATTCTTTCCATTTCCCAGCCCACTGAAGTCTAAACATTGCTAAAGTTTTAGGTTTATGATTCCAGATGTTTAATGAGTACTTCAGTGGAACCACAATGGATCCTTTCTAAAGACCAAATAACAGGTTCTACTGAGTTCAAACTTTCCTATCAAGGCAAGGATCTCAGTTTGGAATAAATCAATTCTGGAAATCCAAAGAAGCATTTTTCAGGAAGTTAGGAGCAAACCAAATAGAAATTGCTTTCATTGTAGTTACTGGCAAATTAACCTGCCACCTTCTCCAAAGTAAAAATGGCTCTATATACACAAACCATCAGTGAGCACGGCTTACTGCAAGGCATATGCCTTTCTTCAATGCCCCAACATGGCTGGTCTGTGAAGACATTGGAAATTCCCAAAATTCAGAAGTTGTCCCCTGGAAAAACTTCCTACCCTATAAGGAATGTATATGGTCATATACTCTGTATATATAATCAGAGCAAAGACATTTATTCCCTTGGGGGGGAAAGCACAGACCAAAAAAATTTACTGCTAATTACATAACTGCTGTATGAAGACTAGGGAATAAAGGACTTTAAGCACTTTACGCTAATTCTGTGGTTATGAAAATAATTGCTCAGTTCAAATTATTTTAACTAAATTAATTATTTAGTGGCTATTTCAACCAGTGTTGCACAATAAAATAATTGTGTAATTAGCAGTACATTTTTCAGTGCTGCCAAGAATACAGTCTCAGAATGAGTGACAGAATGGAGTGGCCCTCAGTGGTGTTGTGCACCAAGAAAAAATGTGAGACACTGATAACGGAGAAAGTAAACCAGAAAACAGCACAAAAAAGTCACCCTATATCAAATGAGAGGTAAATGAAGGCAGTTTCCAACCTCTTCACCCACTTCTGTTTGTTACAGACCTATCTACATTAAAATCTGTCTATGATTAACAGAACCAGCTCCCAAAAAGAAAGGGAGTGGGGACTTTATTTAAAATGTACTTCCATTTATTTAATTTAAAAAAAACTTGATTTCACAGTATATGCAACTAATCTGGGATGAAGTTGAGTATGTGTGCATTTTCTATTTTTGTGAAATGGACTTTGGTCCCTCTTTTCCATCATTGTGGCTTCTTTACTGCATACCAGAGAGCATGATTTCATATACATACACATACAAATCATTTAATCATCAGAAAATCATCATCTTCTTATAGCTAAGTGAGAGATGAGTGGGTGCAAGATGAGAATTGGACTCAGATATTTTTGGCTCTAAAGTCCCCATTCTACTACCTCATTCTTAACTCATCATTCTTATTAGAAAGGAAAGGGTGTGAAGCTGAAGTAATCTGCTTTCCAGAATCTGATACAATTGCTGAGTAAAACCAGAAAAGACTTGAATAAAATAATTGAATATTTCTAAATTTTACCTGCTCAGAAATTATACTGAGGACACTTCTCTGACTGCCAAACAATTATCTTCAGGCTCTAAGACTATTAGTAGAAAAGGGGAAATCAAGTTTCATTAAAGCTGACAATCTTGGGATTGAAAACAAGGCCTCCATCTAACCTGGAATATCAACAGACCCACAATCCAACCATCAAAACAACCAAAAAGCAACAAAGGCTATTAAAATATACACAAGCACATAGATAACATGCTCACTGAATCACAGCTGCCCCCAATCACACATTTTGAAAGGCAGGTTGAAGTACTTGGCAACAATCTAACACACATTTGTCTGAAATCCCTTCATATTTAAGAAACAGAGCAAAAGCAGAGCCAAGAGTAGCAGGGAGAGGTATTCCCTACGGTTTAGGCTAGAAATCAGTCTAGGGAATTTTAAAGCTATGCATATGCTGTCAATTTTCAGGCCATGAGAAATGCAAGTGGGAATGGGAAATACCACTGGAGAGGTGGGAGCTTAGCGCTTTCGAAGCCTTCTGCATAAAGCACATCTGCAGGACCAGGGACCACACAGCCTTTCCAGAATGTTCTCAGCACCCGGGCACCAACCTGCTTAGGCCTTTCATTTGTTACACAACACAGCTAAGTGCCAACAGCCACATGGACCAAACAAGGGAGCAGAGCGGTGAAGGACTGCCACAGTGCCCCATACTCTCCAAACTGGAACAGATCTCCTGGCTTGGGCAGGATCATCTGTCAGAGGCTGGAGGCAAACATTAGGCATATACGCAAGCTGCACACACGTAAGGTCTCACGAGTTCATTATGGCTGGCTGACACAGTATTTCAACATCCAAGTAATCAGAGACTTTAAAATAGACTTTCATTCCATTGAAGTTTTCAATAAATGTTTTTTTATTGTTATTTATAACCTGTCCCAGGAAAAAATAATAAGTATAACATGAAAAGCCAACTGAGAGTGACCCTGTAGCGCCAGCAGTGAGGCAGCTTAATATCACTGGGATTTGCATCCTATCAAGCTATTCATGCTGAGGCTGGGACCCTGGTGCTAATTTCTAGTAAATTTCACGCTTGATGTCTCCCTGTTGTGGGTCATTGCCGGTTCGTCTAAATAAACTGCTTCCAAATGGCTCTTCCATCTAAATATTCAGCCAGTTTTTATAATTTAATTTTGCATTATGCTGAATAGCCTTCCGGCCAGATAGAGCTCATTGGAAAAAAAGCACCAGTACCATTTTGACATACTTTTATTTATTTATTTATATTTTTACTGCTTGAATTAGACCTCCTAGGCTGACTAGTAAAGAGTTTTTTCTGTTTTTGCCTTCCACTAATGTCAATTTTCAGCATAGCAAGAGCTGTCTCTAATCTTTTCCTACTCATTACACACAATTTTGGAGTCATTTTACCCACAGTGCAGTCGGCTCCTGGCTGTGTGTTGTGTGCACTGAGGGATGGCATAATTGTTTATTTTCCCTCCCTGCATAATCCCCAGCCAGTATTGAAACCAAAACTGCAAACATCTCCCCAAGGGATGTGGAATGACTCTTGGTTTAGGTCCCTTTACATGAGATAATATGTAGAAAACATCCTGACCTGTATGTAAATAGGAAAGGCCGGATGTTCCTCCCCCTCCTACTTCACACTGATCTCTGTCTTCCCCAAAGCTTATTTGTCTTAAGTGCTGTGTGAACTGGATGCAGCAGCATTAAATTCAGAAGACAGAGCTGGCCCTGGTCTGCATCAGGCCAATAACTGCTTTCTGACCAGAGGCAGGGGGTAGGGAGAAGTGAGGAATTAGGGGACAGATTTCTTGTCAGGGATGATGAAAAAGTTTGGATATATATGTGTGTGTATATATATATAATGGCTACACAACCTTGTGAATGTAGTTAATGTTGCTGAACTGTGCACTACAAATGATTAAAATGATAAATATTATGTATATTTTGCTACAATAAAAAAAAAAAACCTCATTTCTGAGCTCTTCAAGTTTCTTATCACAATAAGAAAGGAAAACCCCAAAGGAGAGGAGAGGTAGGTGGATAATAGCTTTCTCAGGGACCTAGACATTCTGTTCTAGGGATATTCTTGTAGATCTGGTCAGTCCGAGGCTCTAAAATCAGCCAACTGTGCTACAGGAAGTCAGGCAGATTTGTGTTCCTCTCCCAACTCTGTCATTTTTTTTAGCTAGGGAAATTTACTTAACCTAAGTCTTAGTTTATGTAAAATGCAGATGACAATATAGCTTACCCCTTAGAGGTGCCTATTGTGATGATTATGTAAGATAATGCAGGTAAAATGGTTAGTGCAGTTTCTTTTGGTGGAAAGCACTGAATGAATTGTAATTGTTCCGATTGTTACAGGGCTGGCAGCCAATCTGGGCCTGAGCCAAAACATGTAACAGAATTGAAGCTTTTCCTACAAGCAGCAAACTTTTGAACTCTGAACTCCTAAGTAATGTCAAGAAGACTGAATTCTCAACCTCCTCCCTCTGCCCCCCAAGAAAGGTAACTAAGGAGTAATAGCAATGAATTCTTTCCTAATTCTTAATGAAATTCTTAATGTAAATCTTACAGGCAAGGAATCTGGGATCAAGTGAAATCTGAAGCTAAATGAACCTCTACATAATGAAAGGAGCTTCAGAGTCTCTCCCCCACCACAAGAAAAATCCTTCAATATAGTATAATCCTTTTTGAACACCATAGTACACTTTGTCTGATTCCTACTTAGTTTTGTTTTCTCTGATGTAGTGAGCATAGTTCCTTGCACATAAGAACTCAATAAAAATGTGTTAAGATTGACTTGTTTAATTAACCTATGCTTTCAGTATCTCATGGCATTTCCACTGATTTACTATCTTTGTCAAAAAATAATTCACCTTTATAGTCTAAATAAGTATACAAACATTAATTTGCATGTATAATCCAAGTCTTCCTTCCCCAAGAAAAGTGCAAAATTTGGTTATTCTCCAGCAAATATGGGCAAAAGGGAACTTTTCAGTGAAAGGAAGGAGGGAGGGAGGGATGGTAAGGAGGGAGGAAGGGAGAAAGATAGGTAGATCACCCTAGTCTCCTACATTTTGGCAGGGAGGCCTGGCCATACAGGGCTTTTGCTAGCTTGGTAAAGGAAAGTTGATGGCATAAGACTCTAATCCCTCTGGACACCTAGCTGATAATCTAGAAAAGGTAACTTCCCCAAATTTTTCCTCCCTCATAGCTAGAGAGTCTCTTGCCCCACGCTATCTCTGGGTGCCCTGCTCAGAGTTCTTTCTTTCACAATTCCTAAGTCCCTATCTCTGATCACTATATTTACTGCCAACAGGGCCATCTACTCCCTCCTCCCATTCCCCTAGCACATCCTACTGCTTCAGAACCCTGAGTTCTCCCCAGTGAGCTGATCAAGTTGACACTCATCAGCATATGCATCTCCTCCTGGTATGTAGTCCCTGACCTCAGTGTGGCCATGAGTCTCTGGCCACTGGACAGAGTACTTCACTACTGTTTAGAGGTAGAGTTGTGTTTCCTCTGGCACTCCTGAACTGTCCACAGCAGCTCTGCACACAAAGGATTCTCAGTAAATGGTGATAGTATACTCACTGCCTAATCATTAAGCAACTCCCATAGAACAGAGCAAAGCCTTTATAATAATGGTCTAATATGCTGGGGCCATAGGCCCAGGGGCTGTTATTAGATAATAGCAGAAAATATCACAAACTACCACAAAGAACAGCCTCTAGTACAGATCTTTTTTTTCTTTTGGTGTTGGCTGATTTCAGTACCTACCTTGGTCATTGTAAAGTATTAAAGAGTAATAAAGACTATGCTCAGAAAGAGGGGTCAGAGACTAGCACAATCATATTTCCCCAGCACCAACAGAAAAGTCCATTGTTACTTGCAAAAGCTAATTCCACAACAGCAGCCCTCCTTGACACTAGTAGATTATTCTGAAATTCTGTGTGGATTTATGAAACATACAGAATTTTCCCATTCAAGTTGTAACTCAGAAGATATCTCTGAGGGAACATAATCCCCAAAAGCCTAGGGTGTCCACTGGGCTGTCAGGACACCCAGAGGCTCTGCCCAGTATAAACCCTCCCTCCCACTGCTTCAGGGTTCCTGGGACTCAGCATGCCTCCCAGCCCAGAGCCCAGCCAATCACCTTTCATCCCACCAGAGAAGCCTCTCCAGTTGGCAAAGACCATGAGAGGCAGCCCTTCACGGTTGAAGTCCTTGATAGCCTGATAGGTCTTAAATGCAGAGTCCGGGAACCAAACCTGGCCAGCCTGCTGGATTATCTATTGGGAATAGTCAAAGAGTAGGACAGAATTAGCACAGTTTGAGAGGGAATCTCTCCGAGGCAAACAAGGTTCTACTGATTAAAACCTCTATCAAACCAAACAAAAAAGAACTGTTTATCAAGATCATCTTCAAAATAAAAAAGGATCCTTAATCTTTGACTTTGTTAAACACTCCTCTTTTAAGTCCTGATTACATCACTACTCTAGTCAAAAGGAGGAAATTTCCTGCTTCTAATGGAAGAACGCAGTCTCTAGAATCCTTGTTCTCAGCTTCCCAAAAGGCAAGCTGGGAATCACTCAACCACACTAGTCCTCAAAATAAGTCAATTATACAGTCTCAGAGTCCTCTCATCGCTGTGTTTAGTATGGCTTTTCCTGTTCTGTGGTTATCAACAGACACTTGGTGTGACACTATTAAATAATCTCCTTCCCAGTCTCTCCCACCCCTCATTTTCTAGATCTTGTCAGGATGTGAAAACATAATCTATTCTTCTAAAAAAGATGGACTGCAGTGTTCACATTTGGCATTAGGGTGGAATTCATTATTAATTCCAGTAATAGGTCATCCATGTGTGTGCTCAAAGAACCTGGAACCACAGGCCCTCAGCCACCTTTCTGTAAGACCATCTCCTCAACAGACTGTTTTCTAGCATCAACAAAACCACTGTGAAGGTCCATTTAATTTTTCAGGCAGAATTTAGCTTACAGTCCATTTAGAGGCATCTTAAAAGTGAGCAGATGACGGTCTGAAATCATTCAAGGATGCTGACTGCCATTCCCTCTAAAACTGGTGGTTTGCAATGCTTCTAATATGTCCACAGGCTCTACAGAAGGAAAACACTATTCCAAGCACAGGCACACAGGGTACTCGAGGTGACCTACCTTGGCTTCAGAATCCAGGTTTGCAGGATCAGCTGGGATACTTAGTTCCACTGTTCGCGTTTCTACAGCAACTACTCCCACAGGTATTCCTCCTAGCCTAGTAAAAAATGAGCCACATAAGAACCCAATGTATGCCAAAAGTCATTTATTTTCCCATCCCACATCAAAACACTGAGGGGAGAAAAGTGGGAACAAATACAGAAAGCAGGGGAAAATCTGATTCTTCTGCAGTAAAATGTGAAACTTTTATGGATTTAGTAAACATGGTAAATACAGTAGGAAACTACTCCCAGACTCATTCCTATTCCATACCACAGGATAAATTCAAACCGGTTGAACTAGGGGAGCCTTTTCATTCAGACTCAACAGCCTAGCATGTGCACACACCCCCATCTCTGTCCTTCCAAATCTCTTACTTCACTCTACAGCCTCTCTGATGGAGGGAAAAGATATGAAACGCAGTAAGAATCTGAGACTTTCAGTAACTGTTTTAATAAATGCTGGCGTTGCTGGAATAGAGGTGTGTTTTCTATGGAGCACTAATAATATGGTTCCAGATAAGATCTGAGGGCGCAGCAGGTCTTCCCATGTGGGCGTGTGGATGTGGAGCATACAGGTGTGTTATGGAGATGATGCAATGTGCCAAGAGTCTGGACATGGCTATGCAAACTTATAACATGCTCTTTCATTGGAAAAGAGCAAGGGGACAGGGATAACTTTGAGGAGTAATCTTGGTGAAATAGGTAATCTATATTGGACATATATATTTAATCTCCAAGTATGTTAATTTAAAAGACTGTTCAGGAACTCAAAGCCTTCACATCTATACTCCATGTACCTTCCCAACTTGATCCTCATAAAGATTTCCTAGTAAAAATCAGGAAGAAAGAGGAAGAGCCAGAGAGCCAGAGAGAGAGAGAGTGAGCCAGAGAGGGCCACAAGTACAGGGTGAGCCCTTATTCTGGAAAATGTGATTCAATCTTTACTTTCTAAGCCACATTCCTTGGGGTTGGGATGGAATGGTTATAGCGTCTCATTTTCCACAGCATTCCCTAACAAAACTTTTCCATGAAAGATGGTCTTTGGTTGTTACACTGGCTACTAGAAATGGATTCCTGTCATCACAAGAGGCTTGACAGGGGCCTGAGTGGGGACCACCCACCCCCTTGTCACTTGCCTGCACTGAATCAGAATCAAAAGCCCTCTAGACAACCAGACAACGAGCAGGAGGTACACAGGAGGGTTTAGAAATATTTCTGTTCACAATGATTAACAATCCAACTGGAAACTTGTAATTGCAAAAGCCACCCTAAATCGGTAACTTATAACTTATATATTAGGGCCCATGTGACCTAATAAAGAACATCTTTATCCGAGTATTACAGTTATTTATTGAACTTGAAAACAGCTCAGAACAACTTCTGTTTTCTATTATACTTCATATAAATTTTATCAGGCTAGCACATGAAGATGCTACATCTTGTTTTATAGTGTGTCCCTGGACAAGGTGCCATGGAATAATAAAAGACAATTTACAGCCAATAGCACACATATTCCAAACATACATACCAAAGATGAGTTTTGGCAGCACTTACAGTAACAATCCCAGAAGAATACATTTATATTTATTTCTTGAAATGCCATTGCTTTTGAAAGAAGCTAGCTCCATTTGTGTTTTATATACTTGTGAGCATGTGTATATGTTTGGAGTAAGAAGCCCAGAACTCATCAGATGGAAAGAAAGGAAGAAGTCAGAGTGAGTGTCACAATAAACAATGGCAGAGCTAACTAAAGCCAAGCTTGACTGATCTTGCCCACAGGACAATCCCTATTCTTCCAAACCTAAGTGTAAAGCATTATTCTCTTGTTTCCCATGGGTGGATATTAAAGACCTTAAAAAGGTTTGTTGTTCTGAGGCTTAAAACCTGTCATGTTTTTACAGACAGGAAAACTGAGGCAGAATAGATAAGAGACAAATTTCCAAAAAAGTTGGTCAGAGTGTGATAGGAGGACTCTCTGTAACAAACTGATGGGTCCTGGGTAGGAGGGCTCTCTCTCTAATGCATCCCCCACCTGTACCTTCCCAGTGGGAATTTTACTGGGCACAAAGACTGATTCTCACTGGAACCCAGAAGCCTCTGGTCAAGTAGAAGAGACCTGAGACACGAGAGGAAATGGGAGTGAGTCCCTTTGAGTTTCATTCTGAGCTGATCCCTGACCTGGCTCCTTATTCAGAGTCACAGTGGAAGATCCTGTCTGTGGGATTTGCCATCTGATGGCTCCTTGTCACCAGCAGCATGAGGTGTGCTGACCTGCTGTATTGAGAGAACCACAAAGCCTAGAATTATTTTCAAGGCTAGAATCTAAATCTCAACCCAATGTGGCATGTTTGAGAATCTTGAGCAGGTGCCACTTTTCACCAAGATAAGGAAAACTGATAGCCCCTGAGAAGAAGGTGAGCCCCAGATGTGGGTCCCTAGGGCAGCATGCCTCTGCAGTGCAGAACAAGATCAAGATCGGCCTTGGCAGGTGCTTGTTACAGAGAGTGCTACAGATTATTTCGTGCAGAGCTTGCTTTTGAGTGAGGTACTTTTCAGGGCGGGTATTAAAATTTAATAGAGACTTCAATTTCCCATTAGAAAAATATAGGTATCCCAGCAACCTATTCCAGCTTATTTTACTCATTCCTGTTTCAGGTAAACTTTTTTTTTGCAATTCAAATCTGATGATAAGCCAATATAGTACATTTGTTACTTAAATAATCTTGATGCCATGAAGGAACTTCTTTCAGGGTAGATTTTTTGGGTCACACAGAATGTACACCTATGCCTGAAAGAAAATGGTCTTTGGGGGAGAAGGGGGCCCGTGGTAGGCTGGTTATTGTAGTTGAGCTTTACAGCCTCCAAAGAGCTTTTTTTCAGCATTATAAAAAGGAAATGTGTCAAAACCAGACTTCAGATTAAACGCATCATTGGAGTGACACACTAAATGACTACTAGGAACCAGTGCTCCAGTTATGCTGCCTTGGGCATGGCTATAATCCAATATTCTTAGAAAGTTTAGACAAAGAGAGCATTACTGGTAAAAACCTACACAGCAATGGCCCTTCCTTTTTTATTTTCAGTGGGGAGGAAAAAGCGCTTCCAAAACAGAAGAGCTCTTACCTGGCTCTGCCAACAACCACGGTCTGTGCCCAGGGTTGCATGATTTCTGAGAAAGATCCATAGTCAAAAAATCCACTCAACCATTGACCTTTCTGGGCTACAGAAGGGAAAGAAGGAAAACAGAGAGAGAATAAAGACAGTCAATCCACTGAAAATGCACTGGGAGATTATTTGGGTGACTTTGTTGTTTTTAACCATATTATAATAGATGGAAGCACTAGACAGTTGAATGTTCATCTGCCTTCAGACATTACCTACTATTTCATTTCTAGTAGGCATAAAAAGAATCATTTATCAGCAAAAGCATCATTTATTGTTAAATGATGGGGTTCAGGTAGCAGAGAGAGTTTGCATGCTTTTAAAAAAATAACTTGGCTTTTTTCAAAACACCACAAACATTTGTCAAAAGGCAGTCAAGTCATTAAAGATGTTTTCAAATTGTCTATTTGTTTTAAAACTTAGTTTACAATTTTATTTAATTCCACTGATATTCTTTTGGTGGAAAGCTTAAGATAGCCGTATGATAAGTATTAATGATCAGATGAGGACTTAAATTTGGGGAAAAGAAAAGGGACTTTGGCTTCTCTCCTAGAAAAGCAACAAGAGACGCCCACTTTAATTATAGCTGACAAACCATAATCTTCCTATAAGAAAGGGCCATGCCCATATATATACTGTGATAGACACTAGAAACATAATGTTAAGATGCATACACTTAATGTCATTAACCTCCCTTACACATGGAATTTCCTTTACTGGCAAGACACATAAGTTTCAACATCCTGGTTTTAAGAAAAAAACTTTTGTTCTACAGGTATCCATGTTTGACCAAGGCCCCATAAAAGCTTCTGCAAATAACTGTTTTCTAACTTGCCCTCTCAGCTCATGGTTTCTCAGTGATTCTTCTAATTTGAACATGGCCCTCCGCCCCCTAAAAACCCAAGTCCAAAACCAATTAAAAGTGGAGATCTGAGCAAGCTAACCTCTGCTGACTTAAACAGGATGGAGAGTGTTTTATCAAGACTAAATTTGTAATTACTGTGTTCTACATTCTTTGCCTCTATGGCCCCAGTGTAAAATGTGATCATCCATTTCAAAATTATCTCTCTATCGTGAGCCCAAAGCTGATAGTTTAGATTCTGGTCTCGTGTTGGGCGTCAGTTTGAAGAATATCACAGCACTATCTACTCTAATAAATGACTTTAACTTTTCACCTAGAAGATATCTGCTTTAACTTATCACAGGGAATCATCTGCTTTCTTTAACGCTTCCACTAAATTAAAATCTTGAAGTCACTCGATTTGGGAGCGAATGTTAGCTGCACATAGACAGCAGGATGAATTACTAGGGAGTCGATGAAAAAATATTATCCAAAAAACAGAAACTTAGTTTATCACAAATTTCATTTTATTCTGTGGATCTCATTAATAATGAATGGCAAGGATAATGCCCCCCTACAAACACACATCTGTTTACCCCATGAAAGAGGGCTCAAATTTTGATGAAGGTTCAAACCAAACTTCTAAGTGCATTAGGATATTGAAATGTCAACTTTACATGTGTGGACCATTTTGTAATTTCTACTTCAATAACAATGACTTGGAACTAAAGAACTCATTTCAAAATGGACATATTTTTTTCTTTAAAAACCTTCCTGCCTTACATGTTGGTTGGGAAAGGGAGTCATTAGTGGGCTATGGCTATTGTAGGTGGGCTTTACCCACCACCCACCCTGCCCCACAAAGAGCAGGTCATGTTCAGTTTAGATGCAGAACTCAGAAGTCAGCTAAGATGGCTCCCCATATTTCCCAGGAGAACACTCACTGACTCTTATTACTAGTTCTCCCAGAAAAGTCTGGATTTTAAGGCTAACAGGTATCTTCAGTTCATAGTTTTATTATAATCATAGTATAAAAAGGAGAGGTAAAAAGAAGATTACTATGGTGATTTTTCTGGCTCTGTAAGAAAAACTAGTTTTATTAAGATTAACAAGTCATTGAAGACAACAGGGAAAATTTTAAATTAAAAATCAACCTTCCTCTGGTGATTTTTCTATACTAACTATAATTAAACTACAGAATAAGCCTCAACTCCTAAGCAATCAATGGCTGTGTGATCTTGCACAAAGCACTTAACTTCTCTGGGCTTGTAAAGTGGTTATCTCTTTTTATCTCTGACAAGTAGTAAGCCTGGAAGTGCTATACAGTCCCACCTGGCTTAGAGTGGGTATCCATAAAGTTTTAAGTCTTCCTTACAAAGGCTTCTTTGTCTTTCAAAAAAATCACAAGGAGTCAAAAATAATGAATGATCTTTTAAATACAGACTTTTTTTGAAATAGCTGCAATAAACATTCAAAGAACAACAAATACTTTCTCAAACAACTTGAAAAAAAAAATAGATTTGAAATGAAGTGGGGAATTTGGGGTTTGACAAAAGAACCTCTTGATAAGTAAGGTTAGTTAAAACAGCCAAATGGACTGACAAATGAGAATGAACATTTGCCTTAGATGGAGTCACTTTTTATCGTTTTCATATTTCTTCTTTAAAGTTAGGTAAAATCAGCCCCCAGACAAGAGAGATATATTATACTAGGTCAACATGGAGGGAGGGCTTATTCATACTCTATGTATTTATAAAAGGAAAAGCTTCATGATTAAATGATCTTATAGAGTACTCTTACATTAATAACTAAACCAAGTACCAATACTATCACCCATGTTCTAAGAAAAGAAGGGTGTATGCAGAAAACTGAAGGAACAAAACAGCAGCAGACTCACAGACTCTAAGAAGGGACTAGTGGTCACCTAAAGGGAGGGGGAGGGGGAGGGGAGGGGTGGGAAAGGGAGGGTGGGGCGAGAGGGAGAAGGGGATTGAGGGGTATTATGATTGGCACACATTGTGTGTGGGGGGATTATGGGGAAGACTGTAACACAGGGAAGACAAGTAGTGACTCTGTGGCATCTTACTATGCTGATGCACAGTGACTGCAATGGGGTGTGGGGGGACTTGATAATATGGGTGAATGTAGTAACCACAATGTTTTTCATGTGAAACCTTAAAAAAAAAGAAGGGTGCATGCAAGGTGGCCACTCAGCATTAGTTTGCTTAGAAGAGTGTAGTCACACTACATTGGAGTGTCTCAAAGACCTTTTCTAAAACTGATCTGGTTAATCTCTGTGTAGAGAGACTAGATTGACAGTTCTGGTCTTAAAAACCTATGACTTTATGGTGGATATTTATTTAACTGTTTTGAAGACTTTGAATCCATTAATAAGTACTTTAATGACAGAATGAATGGAAGAAATGTATTCGTGACTACACTGCTTGTGATTCAATGGCTGATTTGTAAATCTCTTTTTTTTTTCTTGAAGGATCTTTCACCTTTTTCTCCAGAGAGCTATTCTAAAGATTTTCTCATTTCCAGGTACTTGAGTAGTTTGGTTTTGTCTGTTACACAATGCTGTGCAGGAATTGGTCAGTGAGTGAAAGAAGACTGAAAGCTTGAGGGCCAGGGCACCACAGGACCTTCAAACATACACATACTTGGGTGAGGACGGCCTGCAAGCATCCACCGTGGATCATATGGGGCCTTCGTGGGCACAAACTCGATGACTCTGTCTATAGGATCCTTGGAGTTCAGGAGAGGGACCGAACTGTGCACACTCTGAAAGAGGGTGGGTGGGAGGGAGCACAGCTGTCAGTGAACAGTTCCTATCCCTGCAGTCAGCAACAACCATTACAAAGAGCAGGGCCCATACAACCAATGGAATCACAGTCATTAGTCCCAATCATCAGCTAGAAGCATCCCAACTGCGTGCCAAGCTCTGAGGAGCATGCACGGGTCTCAGGTCTCATGCAAGAGCCTGGCACAAAGTGGTGCACTCTGACTCTGATTTCAGTGTGCCCGAGCTTTATGGGATGCTTCCCAGAGAGATGGATGGGTATTACAAAGGAGAAAACCCACAGTGAGGATGAAGCCTTAACATGCTAGGATCTGAGCCTAGATAGGCCACGAAGGCTCCATGGCTGAAAACATGAGAAAGGGGTCTAATCAATGAAGTCCACAGGCATTTTAAAGGTAGAAGACAAGCTGGTGCTTTAAGAAAAGGAGAAATCAACAGCTTTCAGAGGAACAGTTCATTAAAAAAAAATCTACCATAAAGAGGAGACCTCAAATGCACAGTGAGCTGTGGTGGGAAGGGCTCACCTTAGGCATGTAAGACAGCCAGTGCAGGACAGAGAAAACCCCTTCGAAGTCATCACAGACAGTGCTGTGGGTCACTCCATTGTTGTGCATGATCTGGATGCCCCCGAGCTGGTTATTAGAGGTGTATACTTCCCGCCCGAGGACCTAGAGACAGAAGCAAGAGAAAAGACATTCATATTTAACAGAAATAAAGGCAAAGTCTGTTTTGTAATTCTCACTAAAATGGTTCCTTTTTTCCTTCCAGCCTCTGTGGGTTGTTCTGAGGGACCACCTGGACCTTCATCCTAAGAAGAAAATTTAGAAAACTAAAAAGGCTCTAAACAATCCCATAGACTGTTGCAATTTAAAAACCAGCCAGCCTCTCTCTCTCTCTCTCATTCTACTAGCTGCCACAGATATGCAGGACGTAGTGAGCTGGACCCGCAGTGGGTGAGGCTGGGGCCCTGAGACACAGGCTGCCTCATCACCTGCAGGCTTGGCGGAGCTGCTGCCCTACTCACAGAAGAAGTGACATGCCTGTCTTTTGACAATCTTTAGTGCTAAGTCTTACAGAACTGCTGTGAGGTCTGAGTCCTTTGTTTTTTAATGATTTTTTTCCCCCTTACATTTGATTTTTAAAGCTGGCCTCCACACACAAGCCCTAAGGGCTGGCAAAATCATGAAGCAGCTCATGACACATACACGAATGCTTGAGTCTAAAGTCCTCTTTGTGTGCTGGGTGCAGAGCAGTGATTTATATCCAAGCTTGCCTCTCCTCTGTCCTTCGGTCCCAAGGTTCCAGGGAATTCAGGGGCTTGGGCCCCAGTGCATCCCTGGAGAAGTTTAACCCTTGCAAGGTTGAAGGGCACTGCAACTGGAAACCAGAGTTTCCTTTAAAGAAGAAAAAAGGAAGAAGAAATATTCTTGGACTTGGAAATTGTAGGGTTTCTTTTTCCCTTGAACACTGGTTAATAATTTTGTTCAGGGAGGGAGGTTTCCTGACCCAGCAGATGGACGTTGGGCAGCCTGATCACTGACCATTACAAACTGCTGAGTGTGTAGTAATTGCCAGTCAGCTACGGTGGCCCTGGGGAGCTCTGAACAGTTATAGACCACTTCCTGTATTTTACCTTTCCCTTTCCCTCTTCCCTCCTCCTTTAGAAAATTACTATAACACAAAATTTCTTCCTTACTAACTTTTATGTATTTCCAGTCTTTGGGGAGAACCTAAGAAATGAAAGACCAGCAAATTCTACCTGTATCTTCCCATTTCACCCCTTCTTGTTAGCAGCTTTGAGAACCCCCCTGTCTGCTGGGTCAGCCCCTGCATCAGGGCCCTCCAAAGAGTGAGGGAGCTGGTGACTAAAGTGATCACCTCAGTATGACCCAGCAGCCTCGGTCCTACTTAATGTCAGCTAGGAAGGGCAGAAGACTATTCTGAAAGGAATATGGAAAGCAGAACTGCGTTCAGATTACTGCTATCCTTGACAAGGAAGGGCAGAGGACAAGCCTTTGCAGGCAGTCCTGAGCTGAACAACACGGCAGCCCTTTGAAGAAGCGTAGGAGCAGGGGAGACCACGTCTGACCACTGGGTTCCCATCCTCCTCTCAGTCTGTCTTTAATCTCAGCCCAAGCACTGCGGCTCTTTTCTCATTCTCCTGCTGTCTCTCTCCATTTGCCCTCTCTCTGACTGATACACTGATCTCTCGGTCACTTAGCTTTCTGCTCCACCGAGTCCATATTACTAATAACACCTCCGCCACGGCCAGTTTACCTCATGAAGGCAGGAGCACATCATTACAAAATAAACTCATAACTTTGACATTCTAGCAAATACACGCTGTTTGTTATTTTGATGGCTTTAGTCTTTCTAACAGGCAGAGGGCATTACATATCTGTTTCATTTATATCTTCAAATGTGTGCACACATGCACACTCACACATGCATCAGGAAACAAAACAGAACAAAAAACCAACCCAAAACCAATATGCAAAGCAGTCAGTTGATGGGGGACCCTTGTGGAAGCAGAAACCCTGTCACTCAGGGAGGCCATGCTCTGCTCTGGCTCTGGTTTTATGGATGTCATAAACCCGATGGCCCACAACTGGTCCTTCTGGGACAGACTGCCTCTCTGCCAGAAATCATTCAGTGTGATCAGCAACATTTTTAATTATTAAAATAAAATTGGTAAGGGGGAAAAGAAATAAAAAGGAGACACTGCATTGACCCTGAATATGTGATATTCATGATCTAGGTCACGAGCCAAGAACTCCCAACTTCCTAGAGGAGAGAGCTGAGGCCATTTTCTACTCAGAAAAATGATTTTCTTTCCTTTGAAACATTGTCTCTAGTGCTTGATAATGCCCAACCACTAAGAATCTTACATCTCTCCAAAATTAGTAAAGGACCGATGAAGACCCACCTTGGAAAAAGTGACCAAAGCAGGCAAGACGTGCACAGCTGTTCAAACACACCTTCCTCAGAAGGCTTTGTCCCCTCGTTTCAAAGAGGAAGAAAGCATGTAGAACCAGGCTACTGCAAGAGACTCTGCCACTTGCCCACCCACTCCATATTCTTATAAACTAATGGGAGACAAACTTGGGAGGAGCAAGAATTTAGTAAGTTAGCACATCTTCCCTTTACATGTGGAAACTTCAGGTTCTAATGCTTAGGAATTATTCTGAAAAGGAGCATTATCTCTGTATTTCTTCTCTTCTGGACTAAGAAATGTTTGTCAGGTGAGAAGATTCATTTACTTTGGGAATCAAAGAGCATAATTATAGGATAGACTATCAGAGCACCCACACAGCTCTCTGACTGGCCTTATCTCAAGGCATAGGAGGTGGGGTGAGGAAGAACACAGAAATGAAACCTGCTTCACTAACCACAAACCAAATGCTAACAATCATAGCTACTAGCAAACGGTGAAGAGAAAGCAGTACCCTCCAGTTCATCTTCAATGACTGTATGTTTGGAGCATGCACCAGTAGAATGAGGGCTCACACAATAGCTCCTGATTTATAGGGGTCGTTGCTGACTCAAGTGTTTTTAATGATTTTAGAATACTTCACAACAAAAGCTCCAACCAAAGAGGCAGAATTGGACTAGGACAAAATCCACTCTGCCTAACGCTGATATGATCATGCTGGAACTGTTACACAAACCCTGATCAGCATATAGGAAGGCAAAGGAAAAAGCCTACCCACCTTTTACAGAAAAATGTGGGATAAACAACCCTCACCAACATAATATTTTCATGAAGTAGGTGAGCTTCATTCATTAGTTGTTTCAACTCTGGCATATGCATTTCTTACGTGAGTCAAATTGCTTGCCATGTTCCATTTCCCAAATTATTCCTCTCACATTTTCTTGTGCATGATACTAACTTTTAATTTATCTGCCCAACAAGCATCAATAACCATTTAACACAGGAGTCATTCAAACAAAGGTGACTCTCCTGGGGCTCCTCTTTGCTGTGCCCCAGGTCTAAGTGAAGAAGTAGTCCCATTAAATATTAGGAACAGGCACTGTCCTGGGGCCCCTTGCTGAAGAGTGCCAACACCAACAGAAGTGAATATGGCCTGAGTTTGAGAAGGAAGAGGATCCCCATCCATTCTCGATATAAACGTAAGCCTCATCCAGCACTTCATTTACTGCAGCTGGCAGACCTGAGAATTAAGCGCACTGCATAAAAGCCAGTGATTAGCAGAGACACAATTGTTAAAGCCTCCCCACAAAGATGCTACGCAGCCATTAGAAATGTTGAGATACATAAGAAGTACAAATGAATGCAGTCATACATACATGCTAAGGCCTTGGCTGCTCTGCTGCTTATCTAGAGACACTGCAGACAGCTCAGGTTTACCATAGCTGACAGGCAATGAAAACAGTCTAATATACCACCTGCTCTCCCTTAAATCCCTTTTTAGAGATCAAGATAAACACGTTCTTCCTTTCCCCAGTGCTCCAGACATTTGACTGAAGTGGCAGAAGCATTGTGAAGTTTTGTGCAAATGAAATCACTATGTAATACTGAATGAGTGTAGTATTTACTTGTCAGGATATTTGTCAGCACAGGCATTGCGATTTCCAAGTTTCATACATGCAACCTAGCTCAATTTTTTAAAAATTGTTTTTGTCCTGTATATACATTATGTTGGGCACCCTTAGACTCATAAACAAATATTTGCAATTATGTGCTGAAGATGTGAAAAATAATGGTGCATATCGATAGAATAGAAAATGAAATCTACTGCTGCTTTATCCAGTCTTTCCTCCTTTAAACAATCCTTGGTGGGTCAGGGCAACCCTCTATTTCATGAAGCAGGTAGTACAAAATTCCTCCAGAGTCTAAGAATTAGGCTACACAAGCTGAATTCTTGCCAATCCTTCTTATTAGGATATTTCCATTCTCAAGAGGATTGGAGGAGTAGGGGAGGGCTGGGGAGCTTGTAAATTTCCTGAGTAAACAGCATCACTGGACTTCATCCACGATTCTAGATATTAAAGTCACTCTGGGATCTGTCAGGTGATTGACAAAGGTTTGGGTAAGGCAGAAACAGCAGATATGAGAAAGAGTTAAGTTGGAACAGGGAAAAAGTGGTAAAATAGGGACAGAAGAGAAGAGGAAGGATAAGAGAGAGGAAAAGGGAGGGGGTGAGAAAAGAGGAAGAAAAAGAAAAAAATGCAGGATCTCATCTACTCATGTTGCTAACATCCTCCTTCCTGACCTGAGACGACTACATTTTTAAAACCTGACAAGTAATTCAATCTCCAATTAACAATTTTAAGTGGTGCAGCACATATTACTGTGTAAATGTTTCTCCAGGAATATATCCAAGGGTGAATGGAATTAAACCTCTAGGGAGACAGGACTAGTGCATCTGAGACCAAAAATACTGGGGTTCCAAAATACAGTCTCAGGGTTACAGACTTCCCCACCCCCTTTCATTGCCACTATTGTCACTGGCAAATGGAAGTGCTGGTTGGCAGCTGGTAGACTAGGGGTAGGGGGAGAGAAAGGGTGCATGACATGCTGCTGGCTCAGGATGGGAAAGCCTCTGACCTCAACCACAGTTCGAATTAAGAACATCCAATGTGAGACCAAAATTTTGCAAGCAGCACAATTAGGAAGTGATCAGGTTTGCTGATGGATGAACTGGAG